TGGTCACCCAGCACAGTCACTATGTAGGGCATAAATGACCCCTCCCATCTCTCGAGGCTTTCAGAACTTTGTGTAAGATTGTTGCACTGTATTCTCGGTGATGGCTGTCCTCATATAATATTTAATGTGCAAATTTCACCCTACTAGTGAAACAGTTAAATAATACTTTAACTCTAGTTTTGAGGCAGCCTAGACAGGCATAGGGACATTACAGACTGACGAAATCACAGAACCTTCTGACAGAGACCAACATGGCTGACCAAAATGACCACTAGCATCCTTCATTTCACTGTAACCACACCTCCATACCTGAAGCCATGACCACATTTTAAAATCCCATGTAAGGGCAGAACAACAAAATCCCCGTGGACTCATGGAATACCTTGCCTTCTCCCCATTTTAGTCCACGAACAATCCATCTTTCCACTAAATTTTGCCCATAAAACAAGCTGTCTAAAGTCCCACAATGCAACTCTCTCTGGAGAAACCTACACTCATGCTTTAATGAATTTTTTTGCCCTGTAATAAATTGCCTACTGTATTTCCTTTCTGAGTTCTTTCCTCAGAATCAAGAACCTGGAAACAGAGTAGAGGCCTCACTCTGGTGTCTGTCTCTGAGATCTCCTCAGTCTTCAGATACTGGTAGCAGTTAGAGCCGTGTTATATCTTACTGAAAATGAGATTTTTTTTTTCTAAGTCCATAGGACTCAATTCAATCAAGGTTTAGGAACTAGGTATTCAGTTCAGTAGCGAATTTGCTTGTCTAGCATGCACAAGGCCCTGGATTCAATCACCAGCATTTAAAAAAAAAATCATAAACTCACACTCCAACGGGTTACCCTTTACCTCCCAGTCAAAAACCAGTCTTCTCTGAAGAGGGCTGGGAGCTGCCTCAGGCAAAGAGAAAGAGCAGTACGCACGGCGCCTATCTGCAGTAATTCTCATTCTGGCTGGGGACCTGGCTCAGCAGGTAAGGAATTTTCTGCCAAACTGGAGAGCCTGGATTCAGTGGCTGGATGTAGGAGGAGAGAAGTGGCTGTTGCAAGTTGTCCTCTGACCTACACACATACACACGAAAGACACACACACACAATAAACATTTTTTAAAATTCGGATCATTCTATACCCTGGAAAGTTACAAGGTCCAGGGGAACCAGACAAGGATAGCTACTGTCCTGACTTCATGAAGACACTGACGTTCCGATAAACTAGCTGTGGCTACTGCCTTCTAAGTTCTCAGGATGACTGAGACCAGGCAATTCCCTAAATGATAATGAATTAATGTAGGAGAAGTATATTTTTTTAAGTACTAGAAACAGGTTGTACTGAAGTGTCACATTTAGAGGGGTCCCGGAGGAACAGCATGACACAGGTCACGATGAGCGTGAAGAACATGTCTGCCCTGCAGAGCTCAGCACAATAACTCCTTCCTGGCTATGGTCATCGCCTCTGCAGATGACAGTTGCCATAGCCACCACACTCTCTGCAGGGAGAGCCCACAGTTAGCCCAGAAGGGACTTCAGCAACAGAGTAGACAAGCCCTTGCCCAAGAGCAGCCAAGGCCATGGGTCTTGTCACTGGGAAGATGTTCCTTTTGGAGTCCGGGAACACACATATTCCTCTGCTGAGTCAAGCCCATGCCCTGTATGGAGCATAGGGAATCTATGCCTCACAGAGCCCGCCTCTGCCTTGACAAACGCATCATGCTGACTGAGGACAGGCTGTCCAGGACAGCACCTTACCCTGCATGGCACCCACCTGCTGAGCATGGGCTAGCCCTCCCTGCCCACTGACACTCAGATAGCATGTCCGATTCTGGGTGTCGGGAGAACTCACAAGCAGGAGCCAGTCACACAACGACAATAAAACATTATTTGGAGATCTCTTTCCCTGGGGAGACTTAAACAAACAACCCCTTTGTTATCAGTCACCAACGACAAATCAAAGTCCAACTTTCGAAACTAATGAGTTCTTGTGCTCGCTTATAGAGCACGGTGAGCAGTGTGGGTGACCCCAAAGTATCCGCACCACTGGGGAGTCTCATCCCAGCGTGTTTGCCGATTTTTACCACAATCGCACAGATGGAGTCCCACTTCAGACAACCTTCTATGGTCCGTATGCTCTAGCACCTTCCACACTCTAGCTAATAGGGTGGCTGGGAGGTGCAGAAGGCAGTGGCCAGATTCTTAGGTGAGGATCTACTGATCCCCGCCCCCGCCACTTCCCTCCTTCTCTGAGGGAGTAACAGTCCACAGACAGAATCCCAGGGCGGGGGAGGGGAGGCTGAAGTAGTCACAGCTCCTCTGAAGCAGATGGCGGCTGCTCTAACAGAGGACAGTTCTCTACCTCAAAGTCGAGCAGTAGGCTCAGCACTGGGGGCCTAACAGGAGGACGCAGCACCCTGCCCACACCCCTGCCACCCATGTTCCTGCCCTCCTGTGGCTAAATGGGGCATGCTCACTGACAGGGCATTTGACTATATAACAACAGTGACTGCAAGACCCGGTAGGGAGAGGCTGCCACACTGAGGCCTCTCCCAGCACCCGTGGCTGTAATGATTGGATTCTCAAGGGGAAAAAAATGAGAAACGGGGCTGAGTGTGGCGAGACAACGGGAAAGCCCCCCCACCCCCGTCACCCCCCACCCCCACCCCCGCTAGAGGGAGCTAGATCCTAGGAACACCTAGACCCAGGCTGATAGCTCACATCAGTAGTCCCAGCACTGGCAGAAGTGGCCATTCAAAGTTTGGCTACATGGAAAGATTTGAGGTCAGCTTGAGCTACATGAGATCCTGTTTTAAAAAAAATATATATTATTTGAGCCAGGCAGTGGTGGTGCACACCTTTAATCCTAGCATTTGGGAGGCCGAAGAAGGTGGGTCTCTGAGTTCAAGGCCAGCGTGGTCTACAGAGTTCCAGGACAGGCCCAAGGCTACATAGAGAAACTCTGTCTGGTGGAGGGGGGGGGGGGATAGCAAACCATTATCTGACCATCTAAGAGAAGCTGAACTGAGGACATGGCCTTGTACTCCTAGCACTCAAGGGGCTGAAGCGGAAGGACCTCAAATTCAAGGCTAGCCTGAGCTACATAGGAAGACCCTGTTTCCAAAAGCCAAACAAAACACTATAAGTTTTTACCCAAAGCAGCTAAGCAAGCAGCTTCAACACTGTGTTCATTCAGCCTTTTTTTTTTTTTTTTTTCACTTGTTTAGTAGACATTGTGACTTCTCTCTAAGAGGCCTTTCGGCTGTGTCCGGAAAATGCTCAATCACCTACACAAAAGGAAAACCAGGATGGAAGTGAGTGTCTGGGTGTTGCAGGAGACGGCCCTCAGAAAGCAACAGTGTCTGTGCACACAGCCTATCCTCACCCTTATCCGCCCACTGCCCCTCAGTCCTCACAAGGAGTATCCCATCAGCAGAGGGGCACCATGCTGGATGCTACAAAATAAGAGTGAAATACAAAAGCCTGTGCTTAGAGATTTTATTACGATTTTCTCCAAACAGGCTTTACCAATCTCTCTGACCCGGGAAAGGTATCACCCATGTGTCTTTCAGGACAAGACAGGGTGTCAGGAAAACAAGGCTACCGCGTCTACACCAAGACAACACCTTCTGAAAACAAAAACCCACTGTTCAGAGGCACTGCATTGGAGCTCACCCCCAGCGTCTTTGCCTGGGGACAACTTGCTTTGTGTCAACCACCTCGGTGATATCAGATGCTGAGGAGGACGCCCCTGCAAGTTGCATCTCTTTATGAATCTTGCATGACAGCGCTTCTCTTCTTCAGCACTGGTAATCTGTTTGATGTTAGCAGAGATGGATGAGGGGCCTTGGGTGTCAGCCGAGAAGCCGACGGACGGCAATTGTGGCCATAAATAATCGCAAGGCTTTCCAGTTGCATGGCCTTGACAATTCAAGGGTCTCAAAATATAGCTGAAAGCTCGAATTATCGAGAAAGGGCAACTCGTTCATCCTCCCAACGTCTCACACGAGAGCTGGGAAGAAGCAAGATCCCTCATAAACCCCTGGCCCTGCCTGGCGTGGGGACTGTTGGCTTCCTGGTGAGAACACACACCTGGGGTAAAGACAGACAAGCCAGAGCTTTTTCGTTTCTCTGAGGGACAGGGGAAACTTTGAAAGTCAAGGGCAGAGGACCCTGTGAGCTCCAGAGTCCACTCCCAGAGAAATGAGAAGTTGACTGCAGGCTGGGCAGTCCAAGCACCAGGGTAGTAGCAAATGCCACTTCTGACCACCAGAGGGAGCAGTTGCAGGAGACTGACACAGACCGTTCCCAACAGGAACAAGCGGGTGGCTTTCCTCTCTCCGAGAACCTACAATCTTAAATGTACACATTCTTAATTGTACACATTCTTAACTGTCTTACAAGTCAGGCCAGGGCTTCTAAAACACTGGCTTCTCCCTCATGAGCCGGGCATACGGAATAAAAGGCGGCGTCAGGCAATGAAGCCTCCCTTTCAGGGGGACCCCACAAAATCCATTTCTAGTCCCCAGGCACCGCTTGAGGTGGAGGCCTGCATACCAGTTGCAACTACAAACGAGACTTTCGCTTTTCTCAAAATGATCTGGAGAAAGCTGTACCAACACCCTGCTTCCTCCAGAGCCCTATAATCTTAACCTATTCCAGCCAAACCACACAGGGAGATTTCCGTTGTCTGTGAACGTGGTGGGTCCTCATTCTCTCACTCTCCAAAAGTAGAGTGTTTGGCTAGAAGAGCTTGAGCTACCCGCTCCCCTGCCCATAAAGAGCCTTATTAGCATCTCTGCTCTAAGGAGGCAGGTGTTTCCATGTCCCCGGACACAGGACAAGTAAGCTGGAATGAAGTTTGTAAACCTGACAGTTCACTTACTCCTTAAATGTGAAAAAATACAGATTTTAAGAAGTAGCTGGATATGGTGATGGGAGCCTTTAATTTCAGCACTTGGGAGGCAGAGGCAGGTGGATCTCTATGAGTTCAAGCCCAGCCTGGTCTAAAAAAAGGGGGGGGGGGCAGGAACAGCCAGGGCTATATAATAAGATCCTATCTCAAAATCCCCGCGGCCAATCAGCAACGCGCAGGCCCTTGTAACGTTCCCAGCGCTGCGTTTGAATTCGGGGAGGAACGGAGCAGGGCAAGATCCTCTGCACCGGCCGTGCCAGGTCCGCGGAGAAAGTCTAGGAGCATGAATGCAGCGGCCAAAGCTGGAAAGCTGGCTCGAGCACCAGCCGACCTCGGGAAAGCCGGAGTCCCGGGGGATGCAGCTCCCGGTGCTTCAGTGGCCGCCCCGCTATCGAAGGAGATTCCGGAGATCTTAGTGGACCCACGCAGCCGGCGCCAGTATGTACGGGGCCGCTTTCTGGGTAAAGGAGGTTTTGCCAAATGCTTCGAGATCTCAGACGCAGACACAAAGGAGGTGTTCGCAGGCAAGATCGTGCCTAAGTCGTTGCTTCTCAAGCCACACCAGAAGGAGAAGATGTCTATGGAGATTTCAATTCACCGCAGCCTCGCACACCAACACGTCGTAGGATTCCATGGCTTTTTCGAAGACAGCGACTTTGTGTTTGTGGTTTTGGAGCTCGGTCGCAGGAGGTCCCTCCTGGAGCTGCACAAGAGGAGGAAAGCGCTGACGGAACCCGAGGCGCGCTACTATCTGCGGCAGATAGTCCTGGGCTGCCAGTACCTGCACCGCAATCAGGTCATTCACAGGGACCTCAAGCTGGGCAACCTTTTCCTGAACGAGGATCTGGAGGTGAAAATAGGGGATTTTGGGCTGGCAACCAAAGTGGAATATGAAGGGGAACGAAAGAAGACCTTATGCGGCACTCCCAACTACATAGCTCCCGAGGTGCTGAGCAAGAAGGGACACAGTTTTGAGGTGGATGTGTGGTCCATTGGGTGCATCATGTATACCTTGCTAGTGGGCAAGCCACCTTTTGAGACTTCATGCCTAAAAAAGACCTACCTCCGGATCAAGAAAAATGAACACAGTATCCCCAAGCACATCAATCCTGTGGCCACCGCCCTCATCCAGAAGATGCTTCAGACAGACCCCAGTGCTCACCCTCACGAGTTGCTTGATGACGAGTTCTTCACTTCTGGCTATATCCCCGCCCGTCTCCCCATCACCTGCCTCACCATCCCACCAAGGTTTTCCATAGCTCCCAGCAGCCTGGACCCCAGCAGCAGGAAGCCTCTCACGGTCCTCAATAAAGGTAAAGCTCGGGCTCAGTAGGGTAGACCCCAGAGAGCCCCGATTTCCAGGGTAAAAAAAAAATAAGATCCTATCTCAAGTAAAATAAATAAGTAATAAAAATAAAGAAGAAAGGCTGATGTGGCATCCCCTCTGTATGCTGTGAATATGTTTCATTACCATTGGCTAATAAAGAAGCTGCTTTGGGCCTAAGACACACAGAATAGGGCAAGGCAGAAATTCCAAGCAGGGATAGAGGAGGAAGGCAGAGTTAGGGAGATACCACATAGCCACCAAAGGGGACAGATGCCCAGGAACCTTACTGGTAAACCATAAGCCTCGTGGTAAAATATAAAATAATGGAAATGGGTTGATTTAAGATATAGGAGCTAGCTAGAAATATGCTTACGTGATTGGCCAAATGGTGCTGTAATTAGTATAGTTTCTGTGTGATTATTTCAGGTCTGGATGGCCGGGAAAGAAACAGGCAGTCTCCGTATACGAAAGACGAGCTGAGGATATGGCTCTGTGGGTATAAACCATTAACCTGAGTTCAGATCCCCAGAATCCATGTGAGAAGCAGATTTTTAGCACACCTGTCCATAATCCAAGCAGGCCCTGAAGCATGGAAGGTGGAGATGTGAAAATCACCAAAAGCACAGCAATGCCAGCACAGCAGTGAGCAAGAGACCCTGCATCAACAATGCACAAGGCAAGGACTGACACCCCGCAGTCCTCCGGCCTCTGTTAAGGCACAAGCATGCACGCACGTGCACACACACACACACTATACACACACACTACACATATACATACACACACACACACACACACACACACACACGCATACACACAAAGTGTTAAGTAAGCAACACACACCAACAAAGGCAGGCAGATCTCTGTGAGTTCAAGGCCAGCCTGGTCGGCACAAATTCCAGGACAGCCAGAGCTGTCTCAAACAACAACAAATACCATCAGGTAAATAAACAGTAGCAACTAAAAACTGTTTAAGGAAAAAAAACAACAAGCGAAGCACTTTCTATCAGGGTTTGTTTGTGGCTCAATCACACCATCCTAAGTATCAACATGGAAAGAAGAACAGACAACGTCAAAGCAAGGTAGTGGGTTAGGCAGGGCAGTGCGTGTCTTTAATTCCAACTCCAGGAAACAGAGGCAGGTGAAACCTTGCTGGGTGGTGGTGGTGCACCTTTAATCCCAGCACCTGGGGGCAGAGGCAGGCGTTCAAGGTCAGTCTGGTCCACAGAGCAGTTCCAGGACAGCCTGTACAGCACAGAGAAAACTTTCCTCAAAAATCCAAAATAAATAAATAAATAAGTGAGATCTTACATCAAAAAACACACATGTACAAAAAGAAAATGAAAGAATCTCATGCACAAAGCTTTCCAAAATTATAACTATTTATAAGAATTCAAGCTGCTGGGTCTTCCAGTCATAAAAATTCATCAGGGAAAAAAAAATCTCAAAACCATAGCACAGAAGCACCTTGCCATCTGGTGGTCAAAAGTGGAATAGCCCTTCATGCTAAGCAAAACACTGAAAAGAATGAGTCTGGTGTATAGGAAGACAAACACAAAAACAGTTTTGTTGACTCTGAAGTCATTGAGCAGTGTGGGTCAGAATCCTAAAACAGCAAGTCCGCTTACCATTCTTCCTGAGGACCCCAGTTCGATTCCCTGAACACACAGACAAGCACCAGGAGCCCCGATTCCTCTGGGCTCTGCAGACACCCACCCTCATGTGCCCATACCCACACATAACATACAGATCTTGACAAGAGAAAGCAATGGAGCTGTCCGGATGAGAAAGGCAGGGGTATAAATAAGGCACTGAGTGTGTGGAAACAGTCTATGCGTACAGATGTCTGCTGATGGGGAAAGAGAAGCAGGACCAGTGTTCCCAGGACCGTCTGTGAATGAATGTAAACAGAGATGGTCCTTCCTATGAAATTCTCTGAAACCAGTGGAAGTGTCATGGGGGGTAGGGTGGGGGTTAGAAAATCAGATTCCCCTTCCCCAGAGAATGTGGTTCTCAATTCTCACTCTTTGGGGAATCAGAAGGCAATAAAAGCTTCCAATAAACATTTTTACTTTTGAATCAGGGGTCTCAGAGAGCCCAGGATGTCCTCAAACTCATTGTGCTACCAAGGATAGCCTTGAACTCCTAACCTTCCCGCCTCCCCTCCCCCATGCTGACTCTGCAGGGGTGCACCACCCCACATCTGGATTATGAAGTGCGAAGACTAAACACAGGACTTCGTGCATACTAGGCAGGCAATCTGCCTAAACTGCAGGTTCATCTAATATCTGCAGGCAATAAATATTTCTTTAAATTTTATTTATATATTTGTGTGAGAGAGAGAGAGAGAGACAGAGAGAGAGAGACAGAGAGACAGAGAGCAGAGAGCATGGGATCTCGCACACACAACGGCACACATGTGAAGACCTAAGGACAGCAGGCAGGAATTGGCTCTCTTCTTCCACCACGTGAATCCTGAGGATCAAACCCAGGTCGTCAGGCTTGGCAAAAATCGCCTTTACCTGCTGAACCATCCCTTCCCACACCCAATAAACATTTTTATTTATATTATTTCAAAGTGGGTTTGAGATGGGGAACTCGCTCTATAAACCAAGCTGGCCTCAAATTCACAGGGATCCACCTGCCTCTGCCTCCTGAGCACTGGGATTAAAGGCGTGCGCCACTTACCATCCCCACCACTCCCACTGTGTGTAGCCCAGGCTGGCCTCAAACTCGAGACCCTCCTGCCTCCACCTCCTTTAGCAAATCCTACCAGCATGCACCAGCTGCATTTTTAAAGAATGTATTAGTAAATGTTTATGTTAATGTGAGAGTCCCTCAATGTCAGAAACATAAAAATTACCTGAAGAGGTTTTAACGTGCAGAACTCTAAGCCTTGCCTGTCCAGATAAAGGACCCCTAAATATCAAAATGTCATAGTGTTCCACTCCTCATCTAATCAGAGTATAAAGTGATGTCCAAGAAGAGAGTGCACTTTCTACCCTAGCCAATGTGTGAAACAGATCCAATAGATACGAAGCTTGCATGTTCCTCTTCCTGCATTAGGCCACCTTCTAGTACGCAGAAATACATATGACTACATATGTCTCCTTGTTGCTAGTGTGTTAAACAGACGCCAAGCCTGTCTAGAGGAACATTATGCCTGGTCATAATCCTGTTGTATCTGCAACAGACTCCCTAGGTGGTGTGGTAACCATGGCTACAGGCCCCTATTCCATGAGTACCTTCCTCCACAGAACCCTAGGGCTGCTCTGCAACCATGGGGACAAGAGAGGTGGCTGAGGCTTGCTGGGAAATGTAGGGCACCATGAAGCAGCCCCACTAGTAACTCAAGGGACGAAAGGAAAAGTCAAAGAGACTGAAGCCTTTTGCATACCCTTCACTATTGGTTGCCACCACCAAAAGAATGGCATAAAGAGCTTCCCTAGCCAGGAGGAGACTGCATGTCAGGGTTCCTTCTAATGCTAGACTGCTGGTGGCCTACAGAGATTTCACCACCGCACTTGTCCCCCTCAATTTCCAGAAATATTTAACAATTGGGGACCACAGGGTAAAATACCTCAGATGTCATCTCATAAAACATGGATGTTTCCACCAACACCCAGGGTGCTTGTCAGGATCTTCAAAAGCAAGCATGGTGTGCGATGCATGTGAGTTTGAGACTGCGTGTGTGTGTGCCTCTGTGTGTGTGTGTGTGTGTGTAGAAGCCAAAAATCAATCAAGGATTTTTGTTCTCAAGAACCATGCACTTTATTTTTGAAGCAGGGTCTTTCACTGGCCTGAAGCTCACTGACTAGGCTAGGGTGGCTGGTCATGGGGTCCCAGAGACCCTTCTGTTTCTGCCTCCTCAACACTGAAATGAACACACACACACCACCATGCCCCGGTTTTGCCTAAATGTTTTTACTAGCATAAATTAATTATACATGGCAATGAGCTTCATTGTGACAGTTTCATACATCTACATAATGAATTCCAAGCATCTTCACCTCGCCCTGCTGCTAAAGATACTGTGCAAGAGGGACCTTTATGGCATCCCATAGTGGATTAGTCCCAAACTGCTGCAGGTGACAGAGTACACCATGCAGAGAGAGCTTGAGTGAGGGAAGAGAGAATGAGAGAGAGACAGAGAGACAGAGGGAGAAGGCAGGAGAGAGAGAGGTGGGGGGAGACAGGCAAAGACCTACCTCTTGAGAAGAACAGTGGGGAGTGGGGAAGGTTTCTTTTGTGGGTGGGGATATGTTCTAAAATTGGTGGTGATAGTGTTTGAAAACTCTATGAATGTGACTTTTTTAACCCATTAAATTCTAGCACTCGGGAAAGAAAAGGAAGAGGGTCGTGAGTCTGATGTCAACCTAGGCTACATAGTAAGAACCTTTCTCAGAACTATAAAGGGTTAAACACACACGTGTGCACATGCACACTCATGCACACACACACACACACACACACACACACACACCAAGCTGTTTATTGTGAAAAGATGAACATTAAGGTATATGGATTAAAATTCCCTCAAAAGCTATCAGTCCTTTTTTAAGCCTAAGAGTCAAGTATAGTGACGCACATCTACAATCCCAGCACTAAGGAGGCTGAGACAAAGAGGACTGCCCAGAGTTTGAGGCCAGCCTGGGCTACACAGTGTGGTGGCTTGAAAGAAGCCCCCAAAGGGAGTAGTACTAATAAGATGTATAACTTTGTTGGAGTAGGTATGGTCTTGTTGGAGGAAGGAAGTGTGCCTTGCGGTCTTATGTATACTCACGATATCATCCAGAGTCTTAGATCACTTCCTGTTGCCTTCTGATCAAGATGTAGCCAGCAACATGTCTGCCTGCACAACACCATGCTCCCGGCCAAAATGATAATGGACTGAACCTCTGAACTGCAAGTTGCTGTGGTCACAGCAATAGAAACCCTAAGACATATCGTAAGCACTGATGCAGCCAAATCTGGAAATTGAGACTCCTTCTCAGGAAAGGAAGCATTTGGGGATACCACCCTGAGGAG